AAAGAGATCGCAGTAGAGGTAAAAGCAAAGAGTATCAAGAAAAAGATAGAAGGCACGGTGAATCGCGTGATGTAGAGGAAGATCATTTACGAGAAAGAAAAAGTCATCAAGATCATTCTCGTTCAAGGGAGCGAGAAGAAAGAAAATGGGATAGAGATTCCTGTCACAGGTACATAATGGAATATGTTGAATGTTATATTTATTGAGAACTATATTTTATAAATATCGACATAATAGTAGGTTTAAAGATGAAAGATATTATCGAGAATACCAAGAAAGATCAAGAGGACGATCTCGTGAAAGAAGAGATAGAGATACGTCTAGAGAACGTGGAGTACCTACATCACACTACTTTGAACAGATTCATGTTCCTCTTTATTATAGTGTAAGTATTCAACCTACACGAAATATGATTGAGAATATTAAACTATATTGGTCCTTAGAACTTCTCTCCAAGACCAATAATGGTTGGACCTTTGGTTCCAATGCGAGGACAGGTTCCTCTAAGTAGTAGACATATGATGAGTCCGTTTCCATTGAGGCCGTTTCCACCACGATTTATTCCTCCAGATATGTATAGATTACGTCCACCACCAAATCCTAGTATGTATATTTATAAATTTATTATGTATTTGAAGAAATACTATTCTAATTATTTTTATTTTATGTAGGATTTGGGCCAATGTATTAATGGAAGACTTGTTATAAAGTCATATGTGATGTTGATTTATTTATTTAAACGAAATTTACAAAGGAATAGATAATAAAGAAATAATTTTAAGTCTTTCGTTTGATGTTTTCTTAAACATATTCGCACCGTGCAGTGGCTTTCTAAGAAGAGAACAAGAATTCTTTTTTCAAAAACCTAATGTCAGAATTAGCTACTAAACTCTGATGTCTACTGTATTGACCGTATTAATTTTTCAGTTTTTACATATGAAATAAGAAATGAATGATTATATTTTATGGTACAGTAAAGTGTACTTAATATATCAAATATTAATCAACACTTTATAAGAATTAAAAATTCTAAAAAGTTCATAATAGTCAACATTATGGCCAATGCAATATACATGTAAGTAGTGGGTGAAGTATATAAGTGTTATATAATCTTTTAACTGTCTAGTTATAAGAGTTGCTTATAATCATAATTTGGAAGTTGTATGAATTGTGTATAATAATGTTCACAATATAATAAAATCCTAAATTAAAGTATCAAGTAATAATATAATAACATGCAAAGTTGCTACAGCATTTTAGAAGTTTAAGGTAGTATACCATAGTCATGGTATACTTTATATGGATGAGAATGAAGTATACTTCATATTGATTAAGATTTCGGATTTATTTTTATATTCTATCAGATTATTTCCGATATTGAATGAAAATCGAATTACTTTAGAAACTATGATATCTAAATTTTCATTTAACTACATTTTCAATCTCGCTATGTCGTGGGGGTTATTATATATATGCAATCACTTTTTAATGATCGTGAAAAAACAATAAACTTTCTACAGCACATTTTTTAAATATAGACCATTGTTTAATATACATATTTTAAGCTATATTTAATATTTTAGCATAAGCTCCAATAGTCTTGTGCCTATTTTATATATGACATGTTTTTATGCAAACCAATGTCATATATTTCTAGAAGGTAGTAATAATGTAATGTAGAAATTTGATTTATTGTAATGAATTGTAAGTTATTAAATGTGTAAGAAATATTTTTGTTTAGTATATTTATTACTGACATTTATAAAAAATAATGTAATTGAAAATTTGCTTACAAGGAGAGTGCAAGTCCTTCTGGTCACCGATCTAATAGAAACATTGTAGGTTTGTAGATTTCGTCATGCAGTTCAAGAATATATATCATTATAACCGCCACTACTCAATACTTTCTGAGATATTTATGATTAAAGTTTTATTACTTCTATACCTACAGATTTATTTCCAATGTCTCTAGTTGATTTTTTTTCTTTAATCTATTTTTTATTTTGTATTCATATTTCGCCTTGGCAAACATTGTAAATAAACAATTGTAAATCAAATATCTTAATCAAAAAATTTATTTTTTACGATTTCTTAATAATTTATCCCAACTACAAGTGCTTCTTCAAGTTTAAGCATGTTATAAGACATATATTAGTTTTATTAATGTAAAATACTTTTAAAATCAAATCTATTAAAATTTATCATTTATTATACTAATTCAAATTAGAAATTAATCAATATATTAATATAAAAATTTAGAAAGTAAATATTGTATACCGGTTAAATATATAAAAGCAGATATACAATCCATTGAAATATTATTAACTAATACTTATTATTATATCCTTAGTGGCTGGCTCTTGCATATAAATATTATACATGTTTATAAAATATCAATAATAAAATAAGACATCAATAATAAAAAAAATCGAAACTAAAAAAAAGAGCCAATCCCGTTACAGAACATTCGTTTCTACACTGATAAATAGAAAAAAACGAATCCAAAAGCCTAATATCGAAAATAGAAAAGAAAAAAGCAAATTCCACAGGACGGTCTGACAGCCACTGACACATTCGGCACTATTTTGGGAAAACGCACGCTCGAAACCTAACCTAACCTAACCTAACCTAACCAGCCACTAAGGGTAAAGTGATAAGTATTAGTTAATAGTATTTCAATGAACTGTATATTTGTTTTTAAAAATTTAACTGATATACAATATTTACTTTACTCTAAATTTCTATATTAATATACTAAATAATTTCTAATTTGAATTACAATAATAAATAATAAATTTTAATAAATTTGATTTTAAAAGTATTTTACGTTAATAAAACTAATATATTTGTTATAACTAGGTTATAATGAAAACAACTGTTGGTGATATTGAGTTAGAATTATGGGCAAAAGAAACTCCAAAGGCATATTATTAGAATGACACTATATTTCATACAATTATCAAAGGATTCATAACATAAGGTGGTGATCCCAGAGGTACAGGAGAAGGTAGTAACATATATGAAGAACCATTTAAAGTGAGACTATATTTAAAAATAAAATGAATTCCGTCTTTATTCAAAAATAATATATGTGTTTCAGGACAAATTTCATACAAGATTACTTACGTTTTTTTTGCGAGATTTAATTGCTATGGCTAATGCTGGGAAAGATGACAATGGTTCCCAATTTTTCTTTACTCTTAGTTCTTAGTTCTTCTGGAGAAACTATATATAATATGCTTGAACTTGAAAAAGTACTTATACATGAGGTAAATTTAATGTTTACAAGAAAATATACCAAAAATTGATATAAATATAATATTTCCTCTGTTTTGTAGAATGATAGGTCACTTTATCCTTCAAGATTGATATAAACTATAATATTGAACAATCCATTTTCTGATATTATTCCAAGAATAATAGTACAGAAAAGTGAAGAAGTAACGATTGGGAAAGTGACAATGGAGTAGTACGGACATCTACTTAAATTCTAATGTCTATATGGCATTGTTTATTATGTCGTTAACAACTTTCAAACTGAATAAAATGTACCTAAGCATATAACCATTGCAATTTCATTTTCTTTATACCAAGAAGAAACTCACTCATCTTCATCTGTGACTTCATGTTTGTGTACAATTAATTCATCACCTTTTATAATTGCATCGTACAGGCACAGCTTTAGTGGACTTTCTAATATGAATTCCTTGTTATTTAATTCATTATTAATGATTATTGCATAGAGTGTTTGAACAATTGCCGAGGATACTAATGGTTTGTCTTTCCATTAGTATAATGGAATAATTAATAATTCCCGTTCATGAAGTAATTATAGAAATTTGGAATTTTTCGCAACAGAAATATATTTACAATTGCTTCAATGATATTATTAAATATAAGAGACATCGTTTGATATTGTACATCGATACTTTATCATACAGCTATTTCAAAGATGCAACATTTTCCCGCTACAAAAATATCAAGCATATCCGGCTACAACCAACTTCCAGTTGGCGGCAAGCGGGCATAGCGGTAACAAATGGTGGAATAGTCTTACGCGTCAAAGTGAAACATTAAATCTTAAAACGTTTCGTGAAGTAGTGATATTGCTGATTGATGTTATAATTATTTTACGAAGTTCAAGATTACTAACTATGAACATTTCTTCCGAGGTAATATACTATATGTGAAAAAAGGGATCTTGCATAGCACAAATCGTACATGTGGAAAATAAAGTGTTGTGAGTGAGGGATCCTATAATACTACCGCATTGTCCGTTACAATGCCCTGCAGAAGATTCTAGATTTCGACTAATCATTCGAATATTTGATCAACATTACTCTGAATAGTCAGTTTTTAAATAGCTTTTACAATTTTTCTTCGATCTTGACGTTCTATTGTAACATAAATATGTATTATCTCTTTTCATTCTAAATATTAATTGCGGATTAGAATATTTCGTTACTACTGTATAGAATAGGCTGTTCTCCAACCAGTAGGGCAATTATATTACGATTGAAGGTGCATATCTGAAACAAAGTAACGGAAAAACAAGTGCCTATGAAAACGTTGTACACAGTATACTTTATTCTCCTATATTTCCGAAATTAGGCCTTTCGGTTAGATTTCTTCGGCATAACAGCATACAGTAATTTCTTCCTTAACGGGATTGGATATTTTTTTTTCGGTTTCGAGCGTGCCTTTGCCAAAAATAGTGCCGAAAGTGTCAGTGGCTCTCAGATGATGCTGCGCAGTTTACTTTTTTGGTTTCTATCTTCAAATTAGGCTTTTAACTCCGGTTTTTTCAATTTATCAGCATAGACTGAATTCTTCCTTACCGGGATTGGATATTTTTTTTCGGTATCGAGGGTGCGTTTTCGAGAACTAGTGCCGGAAGTGTCAGTGGCTCGCAGATGGTGCTGCGCAATTTACTTTTTTGGCTTCTAGTTTTTGAATTAGGCTTTTTGAATCGGATTTTTCCATTGATTTGTGTAGAGTGATTTTTTCCTTACCGGGATTGGATATTTTTTTTCGGTTCCGAGTGTGCGTTTTCGAGAAATAGTGCCGGAAGTGTTGGTGGCTCGCAGATGGTGCTGCGCAATTTACTTTTTTGGATTCTAGTTTTTGAATTAGGCTTTTTGAATCGGATTTTTCCATTGATTCGCGTAGAGTGTTTCTTTCCTTACCGGGATTGGATATTTTTTTTCGGTTTCGAGTGTGCATTTTCAAGAAATAGTGCCGGAAGTGTCAATGGCTCGCAGATGGTGCTGCGCAATTTACATTTTTGGCTTCTAGTTTTTGAATTAGGCCTTTTGAATCAGATTTTTCCATTGATTCGCGTAGAGTGACTTTTTCCTTAACGGGATTAGATATTTTTTTTCTGTTTCGAGTGTGCGTTTTCGAGAACTAGTGCCGGAAGTGTCAGTGGCTCGCAGATGGTGCTGCGCAATTTAC